TGAACACGCCACTGCTGCTACGCTGATCATGGGGTGGGGTGGGGTGGGGATGTTAACGTTCGTTAGCATTTGAACACGCCACGCATGCGACGCTGAGCATTTGGTGGGGTGGAGATGTGAACGTTCGGTTGAAGTTGAACACGCCACTGCTGCTACGCTGATCATGGGGTGGGGATGGGGTGGGGTGGGGTGGGGATGTTAACGTTCGTTAGCATTTGAACACGCCACGCATGCTACGCTGAGCATGTGGTGGGGTGGAGATGTGAACGTTCGGTTGAAGTTGAACACGCCACTGCTGCTACGCTGATCATGGGGTGGGGATGGGGTGGGGTGGGGTGGGGATGTCAACGTATATCGTGTGTTCCCGTTACCTGTTTTGAGGAGTGCATCATAATAATTTATAATGGTTGTCATACTTCTGTTGATAGTGTCTTTCACCACGGTAACGATAGAGTTTCATATGTTGGTCATTATTGGATATGCTTGGTATGATAGCGATCTTTCATATCGTGAGGATAATAACTCATCAAATCACTAGTCAGTGAGGTCTACATGCACAATGATCAATGAAAGTGGCAAGGCAAAAAAGGTCCGAAATTTGTGCTGTAAGGGTTGCAAAATCAAAGAAAAATGACCTTTTTTGGGAACATTTTTTTCCTGATCAGAAGGCCACGAAACACTGAAAGGGTTGTCATTTTTTTCAGCATGTTGATGCGCCTACACGCGCGATTCCGCACCCGGCGGGATGTTTTACTTATAGTTCCTCTCGCAATTCACCCAATTTCGATGGCTCTGAATATCCTGAATTGTTCGGATTTTCTAGTCCCGGGGTAGCACTCTTCAGCCATTAAACGTTGCGGTGGGGCGAACAGTAAAGTTCAAAATCCCTGCATTTGCCGCGATTTTTCATCTAGAATCACCGGCATGAGGCCACTGCATGGGATGATGAATAGGTACGGATTAAATCATTCCCCCATTCCCTACTAAGCTCCAGTAAGCTTATGGGATAAGAAAACAAAAAGTCACGTTCTCGCTGGGGAGATCTGCTCAATGATGACTTATGATGCTTTTCAGAACGAGCATATATGACCATATTTTTGGGACTGTGTTCTATTATTCTATTGGTAATCCATTCCAATTTGGGTCTCCAATGAACTGTTGAGACACTTTGAGACCATAATTATCCATATAGCCTATAGCAACATATATAATGTATATATATATATATTATTATTATATAATATATATATATATATAGCACCCCTTAAGAAAAACAAATTCAAAAGATAGAAAACTAAAATCCCAACCTCCAGTAAAGTGATGAATTGAATATGTTCAAACACTGCCAGAGAACTCAAAGACACCCAAACACTGCCGCTCCGTCAACATCGTTCCCTGGAGATGCCTGGTACACAAGTACCTCATGTACATGTATACAGTATACATATAATTGCATTAATACATCCACATAAAAAAAACATACACATATAATCATATATACATAATATGTGTAAATATATACATTAAATATATATATATACACATACATACATACACTACACTACACTACACTACACTACACTACACTACATTACACTACACTACACTACATTACATTACATTACATTACATTACATTACATACATACATACATACGTACATTACATATTTTTACATACATTACATACATTACATACATTACATACATTACATACATCACATACATTACATACATCACATACATTTCATACAATACATACATTACATACATTACATACATTACATACATGACATACATGACATACATGACATACAGTACATACAGTACATACAGTACATACAGTACATACATACAGTACATACATACAGTACATAAATACAGTACAAACATACAGTACATACATACAGTACATACATACAGTACATACATACAGTACATACATACAGTACATACATACAGTACATACATACAGTACATACATACAGTACATACATACAGTACATACATACAGTACATACATACAGTACATACATACAGTACATACATACAGTACATACAGTACATACAGTACATACAGTACATACAGTACATACAGTACATACAGTACATACAGTACATACAGTACATACAGTACATACAGTACATACAGTACATACAGTACATACAGTACATACAGTACATACATTACATACATTACATACATTACATACATTACATACATTACATACATTACATACATGACATACATTGCATAAATTACATACATTACATACATTACATCCATTACATCCATTACATGCACTACATACATTACATACATACATACATACATACATACATACATACATACATACATACATACATACATACATACATACATACATACATACATACATACATACATACATACATACATACATACATACATACATACATACATACATACATACATACATACATACTAATACATACTAATACATAGTAATACATAGTAATACATACTAATACATACTAATACATACTAATACATACTAATACATACTAATACATACTAATACATACTAATACATACTAATACATACTAATACATACTAATACATACTAATACATACATACTAATACATACTAATACATACTAATACATACTAATACATACATACATACATACATACATACATACATACATACATACATACATACATACATACATACATACATACATACATACATACATACATACATAGATAGATAGATAGATAGATAGATAGATAGATAGATGCATACATACACACATACACACATACACACATACACACATACACATGCACACATGCACACATGCACACATGCAGACATACAGACATACATACATACATATATATACATACATACATCCATACATCCATACATCCATACATCCATACATCCATACATCCCTACATCCATGCATCCCTACATCCCTACATCCGTACATCCGTACATCCGTACATCCGTCCATCCGTCCATCCGTCCATGCGTCCATCCGTCCATCTGTCCATCCGTCCATCCGTCCATCCGTCCATCCGTCCATCCGTCCATCCGTCCATCCGTCCATCCGTCCCTCCATACATCCGTCCCTCCATACATCCATACATCCATACATCCATCCATCCATACATCCATACATCCATACATCCACACATCCATACATCCACACATCCATACATTCATACATCCAAAAATCCATACATCCATACATCCATACGCCATACATCCATACATCCATACATCCGTACAACCATACATCCCTACATCCCTACATCCATCCATCCATCCATCCATACATCCATACATCCATACATCCATACATCCATACATCCATGCATCCATACATCCATACATCCATACATCCATCCACACATCCACACATCCATACATCCATACATCCATGCATCCATACATCCATACATCCATTCATCCATACATCCATACATCCATACATCCATACATCCATACATCCATACATCCATACATCCATGCATCCATACATCCATACAGACAGACAGACAGACATACAGACATACAGACATTCAGACATACAGACATACAGACATACAGACAGACATACAGACATACAGACATACAGACATACAGACATACAGACATACAGACATACAGACATACAGACATACAGACATACATACAGACATACAGACATACATACATACAGACATACAGACATGCATACATAGACAGACATACAGACATACAGACATACAGACATGCAGACATACAGACACAGACATACAGACATACAGACATACAGACATACAGACATACAGACATACAGACACAGACGTACAGACATACAGACATACAGACATACAGACATACAGACATACAGACATACAGACATACAGACATACAGACATACAGACATACAGACATACAGACATACAGACATACAGACATACATACATACAGACATACAGACATACAGACATACAGACATACAGACATACAGACATACAGGCATACAGACATACATACATACAGACATACAGACATACAGACATACATGCAGACATACAGACATACAGACATACAGACATACAGACATACAGACATACAGACATACAGACATACAGACATACAGACATACAGACATACAGACATACAGACACATACATAGAGACATACAGACATACATACAGACATACAGACATACATACATACAAGACATACATACAGACATACAGACATACAGACATACAGACATACAGACATACAGACATACAGACATACAGACATACACATACAGACATACAGACATACCGACATACAGACATACAGACATACAGACATACATACATACAGTCATACAGACATACAGACATACCGACATACAGACATACAGACATACAGACTTACAGACATACAAACATACAGACATACAGACATACAGACATACAGACACAGACATACAGACATACAGACATACAGACATACAGACATACAGACATACAGACATACAGACATACAGACATACAGACACAGACATACAGACATACAGACATACAGACATACAGACATACAGACATACAGACATACATACAGACATACAGACATACAGACATACAGACATACAGACATACAGACATACAGACATACAGACATACAGACATACAGACATACAGACATACAGACATACAGACATACAGACATACAGACATACAGGCATACATACATACAGACATACAGACATACAGACATACAGTCATACAGACATACAGACACACAGACATACAGTCATACAGGCATACAGACACACAGACATACAGTCATACAAACATACAGACACACAGACACACAGACATACATTCATACATCCATCCATCCATCCATCCATCCATCCATCCATACATACATACATATATACAAACATACAGGCATACATACACATATATATACATATATATTATGTTTCCACTCTCTACGCGTAGCCTCAACATCCCACGCCAGGTGCTGCCCGGCTACTTCTCGACGCGCGAGGCGCCGGGCGACGTCTTCCACTGCCGTGCCGTCGGACATTGTCCCGGCGGAGAGCCGGGGACCTGCGCGGAAGGCCCCGGGGGTGCAACAGGGTGGATTTTATGGTGATTTAATGATGATTTAATGGGATTTACTGGTGATTTTATGGTGATTTAATGGGATTTAATGGGATTTAATGGGATTTAATGGGATTTAATGGGATTTAATGGGATTTAATGGGATTTAGTTTTTTTTTTAATGGGGATTTAGTAGGATTTCAAGGAATTGAATGTGTGGAAGCATTGGCATTTCATGGGATTTGGTTTGATTTCATGGAATTGAATGGGCCCAAGCATCAAACATGGTGGTTTAACCAACACAATTTGAGCATTTTTCAGTAACACAAACTGGCATTGAATTGAAATATCATGGGGATATCATGGCAGTGTGATGAATTAGCCTCAACTATGGCTATGTAGCCACTTAAGTGGACTTGCATCCCAAGAAATCCTGAAAGTTATGGAACCAGTTGGAGTTTCGGATTGGAATTTCCCATCAAATCAGGAGTTGTAAAGGAGGATTTGCCACCCAACATTGACATGTAAGAGAAAATACATAGCTGGTTGGTGGTTTGGAACATGAATTTTATTTTTCCATATATATACTCTCATATTTTTCAGAGGGGTTGAAACCATCAACCAGATAAATACCGCCTGCTTTCAGGATTTTCCGCTGGGGTGAAGGAAAGAGAAAGAAGGAACTATAACTATATCATAACAGTGTAGATAATAATATGTTGATTTTTTAGTGACCAGCTACGAATGATGCATTCCAGCTGCCAGAAACTGCAGCCCAGTTGCTGACCCCATACCTTGCTCGGCCACTGAAGATACATGCAGAAATAAACGTTGCCAGGTGGGATTATCAGATGCATCATCCCACTTCCCAGAAACAAATTGGCATTATCCTGGGAGAACGCGAACGCGCAAACGCTTAAAGTTAGGAAAACTTGGTGGTATTCAGCTCGCTGACTGGGATAGAATAGGATATTGATATATGTTGCTCACCATTTGACAGAAAGGATAGGAATAGAATTCGATTTCTCACCAAACTTGACACCTTCAAGGAAACATCCCAGACAATGCAAGAAAGACTAGCCAATAAATAGGTCAACAGCTAGCCCAACTAGTTATACCCAGTTACCCTCTGGTAATGAAACACTGTAACGGATAAGCTTCAAATTCAAAGTCATCCAGCACCAAACAACTGGGTTTGTCTGAAAATTGGGATAATATATGATATATATATATGTATAATCCTCTCTTCCTATTACTACACGCACCTCCCCACAAATGGTAAACTCGGTGATCTATTTTTATTATTAGGGGGTATTTTGTATTAGGGTGCCCCTAATATTCCAACGAAAAACCCTAATAATTAAAAACATGATTTCAAATTTGATTAAATCCCTTATTAAAATATCTGTAAAATATTGTCTAAAAATGGATTTCGAAGCTTTCCCCTAATATTCCAATGAAAAACCTTAATAATAACAAATTTGATTAAATCCCTAATTAAAATATAAAATAGTGCCAAAAACTGGATTTCGAAGCTTTCCCCTAATATTCCAATGAAAACCTTAGTAATGAAAATAAAAAATGAAAAACATCCATGGTGGCAAACTATTTTTATTAACAGGGGGTTGAACCCATTGTTTCACCATCCTGTTCTCCTATTGATTCTGAATTACCACAATTAAGAATCCAATTGTGCCCCACCAAAAATAAACGGAAGTGCCACACCAATACCTTTTTTTTTAATTTGGGGGAGTTTTAGCAATAGGAAGAAGAGATTGTATATATATATATCCATCAAATAGCTAATGCCAAAAAGGAATAATGATGATTAATCACTGGATTTCAGGGTTTCCCCTGTACCCTCTGGTACTCAAGCTGGAAAAATTTCCCATCTATCCATTTATAGGGCATTTTTCCAGCCATGTTTGATTGCCCAAAGGGGTATATTTGCAGGACGTGATCCCAGTTATTTGGGCTGCAGCAAGTGCTTACGGGGCTTGAGATCCCGTGACGATGGCTCCTGCGGCGAATGCCGGTCGAGTGTCATGGCAAATGGGGGGGTTTGGTCCATTGTACTGGGGACACCAATGGCGAAGGGGTTCCCAAATGCCAGAACCACCAACATGGATCGAAATGGAAGCAACTAAAGCAACAACTATTGGTATGGTGAGATGAGATAACGTATCCCATAGGATCCATGTATGCTATATATGGTAACATTTACCATCAATATACCCCCAATGTTAGCATATATACCATACATGGATCCTATGGGTATATACATACTATAGAAAACTATGAGATATATTGGGTGTCATGAACCTTCAGGACCGGACGAGAACTAGCCCTGAGGCGATTACGCCGTGGCCACGGTGATGCTTCTCTTGCTGGTTGCTGCCGTCGCCCTGGTCTACGTGGGTCTTTTCAAGGAGCAACAGGCGCAGTTTCCGCGAGATCCAAAGGAAAAGATCCTGTTATGTAACATAGCTCAGCCCAGCCATGATGTCAGCCATGCAGAAATTGTGTAAATACATGTAAATACTATCTATCTGGGTAAATTATAACGACCTCACTGCGATCTCACTGGAATCATGGCTAATAAGGGAAATCATCCCCAAATGGCCTTAATTCAAGTTAGTGAAATATTATAATTTACCCAGATCTATGTTTTCAACGGTTCATTCATTGCCTTGCAATCCCGTCCGGGCAAACAAGACCTCCTTGCCGCTAGCCGTTGTTGCAGAGGGTAATTCTATGTAATGACTCGATCAAGTTATGAGAAGAACGATGATTGGGGAATACCGTCTGGTAATGAAACGTGGGAATGGAACACCCACTGTAAATGGGGGTTTAAATGGGAAAATCATCTATCTTTGGAATTCGAAATCACGAACCAAAAACACCTACAGAAACATTGAAACATATGCTCCATCACGCACCACATGAAGCGGTTCCCTCCCTTGGGGGCAAAAAGGGTCATGGATGGTTTGCAGCTGAAATTTGGGATATCCAAAAAATGGAGATTCAACGCAGCAACATCGTGCAAGAAATGACCAAAAACAAGGATATCCCATGATATCCCTATCTTGGGAGACGTCTAAAGCATTTGGGATACAACTCACGAAGGTTACACATCATATATTTTATACTGTACCTACTCATGAGATATGGGATTGCTAAGTAGCTAAGTAGCTAGAAATGGCCAACAACTGTGGTTACCAGGGTCTCATCTTTGTCGAAACACTGGTGCTTCAAACCGCAGTCTGGTGCGCAATCATCTAGAGTAAACAGAAACGTAGCACTCGGGGTGGTTTCAACAAGAAACATATATATATATATATGATTCGATCACATATATAATATATGATTATATATGATTATTATATATGCTTGTATTTGATTATATATGATTATACATGATTATATATGATATAATATGATTATATGATTATATATGATTATATTTGATTATACATGAATATATATGATTATATATATATGAAAATATATGATTATTATATATGATTATATTTGATTATATATGATTATACATTTATATGATTATATATGATTATTATATATAATTATATTTGATTATATATGATTATAATTATTATATATGATTCTATATGACTATATATGACTATATATGATTAAATATGATTATATATGATTATATATGACTATATATGACTATATATGACTATATATGATTATATATGATTATATATGTTTATATATGATTATATATGATTATATATGATTATATATGATTATATATGGATAAATTGTACCGACCTCACGTCGTGACGTCGGAATGATGACTATCCCAAAATGGCCGGATTTTAGGTGAATTACTACATTTCTCATTTGTCCATATGATATGTGAGTTACACGTGATATTTATATATATACACATACATATATATATATATACATAATACATTAGTACATATGATACATAGTCAGGTACATACATATATATATAAATACACTATTATGTACTATTATACAGGATTGTATACACATTATATATACATGTACTATGTCTGGATCTCTTCATAGCAGGTGCGTCAACCTGGGCCTCTGCTGATCGCAGTGACCAGCATCACGCAACTGTTGACGACCCTGCGACGCGGTTGATTACCATGGGATTTACATAGGAACATACAGGAAAACATAGGAAAACCCATAGATAATGGGATATAATGGGAGATATATTATAATATATATGTATATATATATATATGTAATATATATAATATATATATATATAGTGGGATTATATGGGGATATCATAATTTTTGTGATTCAATGGGGGTTCATGGGTACAGTATTTTTCATGGGAATTCATGGGAAAAACTGGTCGGATCATCGACTGGTTTGTGCAGGTTTTATATAGGAACATCAACTATAATCACTAGAATCAACTGGATTTGCTGAAGAATGCTGGTCGGATTACCATGGTTTTTCCATAATGGGAGATCCACCACTTGGCGAATCCATCGGCATCGGCTGGGCTATATCCAAACAATAGATCTGAGCATTGTCATGTTTGGGGCCTTGCCAGAGGGTACTAAGCACGAACCAACTGCTTGCCACGGTTTCTGACTACTTACCAACCTACTAACCACTTAACCCCTTATTAATCCTTATTATATATATATATATAACTTACTAACCACTGCCTTAGCTACCTGTTGTGAGTCAGTTGCTCCTCCGTTGTTTCAAGAACCCTGGCCCTGATCTGCCGCCGTAAAAGACGTGGCGAGGCAAATTCTGAACATCCTTGGCAGTTTCGACATTCCCTGGGGAGAACCTTTTGTCTCCATTCTCGCACCTTGGCTCTCGCAATTTACGGTGGATGTTGGGTTAAAATGGTTCAAATGAAGTGTACCCTCTGGTAATTTCACATGGCTACGGAAAATGGTTTATTTATAGATGAGATATTCATTTAGAATGGTGATTTTGCAGTGCCATGAAACAAATAACCAGAGGGTAACATCCAACAAGAAATTTTCATTGATACAACAATACAACCAACAAAAATGGTGACGTGGACTGGATACCATTGGATACCAAAAAAACAAATCGAAGCTGAACTGGCTTCCAAGTGTTTCTCGCCATTCATGATGTACGGATGTCATAATGCCGATGATTCTTGTCATTTCTGGTATTTAGTCATACTAGCCTCTAGCTATGGAAGATCACCACTCAGTCCATCTTCCAGAGGCTACATCCAATTCGAGGATGGTTTTACAACCTTGCTTCGTAGCCGCCTGCTTCACACATGTCCGCCATGGAATTCTGGTCCGCAATCTGATCAATCCAAGAATAAGCATCAGGAGTTGGTCGCAGTTGACGAGTCATCGGGGTCGCAGCTGGAAAAAAAGTGCCTTTGCAGTGACATAAGCCATCAACAATACTCACTGTTGATTGGATATTCGAGGGGTTCTAGGGGGTGATACCACCTGATTGATTGGGGATTATTGTAGTTCCAAAGATGGGCATCCCTTAATCAACTTACTTACTGCATGTCATGGATCTAATGTATACAACCATATACAACCAGTATTTCATGGAAAAACTCTATGGGTATTTTGATGGCTCACATGTGTTCCCACAACGTTTAGCCACGAAAAATTCAAGGATCATTTTTGTTTGGTCGACCGGTCAACCCTCCGCGAGGCCTTTATCGAGCTCTTTAATTTCAACCTGGACATTCTGTGGCTCGGACACGAGACTCACCTCTCCGCGGGGCGTGGAAAGTGAAGGGATACTGATTATAAAAAAAAACATGCCTTAAAGTTGGACATGATTTAAATTAATCATAGATTGGTTATACTGATTGGTCTTAACATCACTAAACTATTGTAAACTATCATGTGCCATAATCCTGGTGGTAACTGCCAGTGTCTGAGGGTTTTAAACCCATAGCGGCTATGACAAGAACGGCCATGCAGCTACTGGGTGAACCTTGGTTGGGGTCGATCTGGTGATTGCTAAATATATGTTAAATATGTCTGGGTAAATGGGTAAGTTGTAATACATTAGACAATCACCAGATTGACCTCACTGCGACCTCGCTGGAACGATGGTTATTTCAGGTCAGTGAACTATTGCAACTATAACTTACCCAGATATTTCGCTTGATATATCGGTTATGAGGCAATACCTTGCCCATCCGAAAATTGACATCCGCTTGGGGGTCTCCAAGATCTGTGGATATGGGACCATGGCTATTGAGGACATCCATTTTGGGACCCATGGCTATCGTGTGATAGTCATAAGCCGATACAACTACAAGCTGTATTGGATAGTTGGATTCTATCTGTATATATATATCATTTCCCCAATAGATAGCTGGTCATATCCATCAACTATTGGATATAAGCATATCTGGTTGGTGGTTTGGAACCATGGAATTTTATGACTTTCCATATATTGGGAATAATCATCCCAACTGACGAACTCCATCATTTTTCAGAGGGGTAGGTACACCACCAACCAGTAATGAACATCATATATCACTGGGATTTTCAGGATCCTAAAATAGAGGTACTGTACCATATAAGGCCATGTTTTGTGAGGATATTCCTTGATATAGCCCTACGAAATAATAAGCTTTATTTTTCTTCTACGTAGCTCCAATCAATCGTTTCCTGAAATAGCCCCAAGGTCAATCGACTGCGTCACATGGTTTGATTCGGTGGGAGAATTTACCATGAGAGTTTGCCTGCTGCCTACGTGCCTTGGTCGTTTGCTCCAGAGATTTTTCTGCAACTCAGTGGATGTTGACGCGGGAAAAACATGGATCATTAAATCCAAAGGTTTCCCTGCTGAAACACAGTTTTTGTTTATCAAATTTTAGTGTTCTACAATTGGGGCCCATCCACAGGCGAAAGGTCGAAACTGTTGGCGGGTTTGGGGGGCATGAATCGGCAAAACTGTGAAATCATGTAAACGACCCGATTTATTTTGTGATTTTTGAATACAACATGGCGTTTTTCAATACTTAAGTTATTAAGTTGAATTGCCAGAAGGTAGTTGAGCAAGTTGAGTAGTGATGAATGGGCATCTTGGGGCCAGGGCCAAGGATGTGGAAGCGAAAAAAACATCTTTCCCGTGGATAGCTGGAGCGGTGATTCGGTGATTCACCAAGGACTCCATGAAAGAAAAAATGGTGCGGAAAAATATCTGGTTGGTGGTTTCAAACATAGCTTTTATTTTCGATTTCATATATGGGATGTCATCCTTCCCATTGACTTTCATATTTTTCAAGATGGTTATTGCACCACAACCAGATATACTATGATATACTTTGATAAACTTTAATGTGAATTAATTGGAGAGTCTTTAGAAACGTGTAATTAATTGGTGTGATAAGCCATCAGTCCCAATGGTGTTGAAGATGATGAAGATTTTGGGATGCCACGTTTGGCACCGGGTCACCTATATTTGTACAGTAATTAAAATTTATCATCCGACACATATACCAGCATAGTACAGTAATTTTGTATATTAATATATTTTGGCATTTATGTTTGTACAAATATGTTCTATTAAATATATCCTCTGACAACAAGGAATCCAGTCAGCTAGTTCATAGACTGTTCGACTCAAATAACTTTGCGTGCCTTTTTCCTTTGCAGAACACGCCAAGGATTATGCTCATTGCTCTCTTCGTTCATTTTGGCAGCTCGCATGCACTGCCTTGTCTGACCATTGGCCCTGTTTGCTGGTCGTTGGATGGAATGCCGAGGCTAAAGTCAGTTGCAAAGATTGGGAATGACCGGCAATCCCTTGTTTGATTCCAAGTATGAAACCACATGAAGACTGACAGAACAATCGTGCCAACCATTTTGAATCATTTTGACTCATGCACTTATAACATTTTTATAACATTTTTCCTGAGACTTTTTTGTACCATCCACAAAATGATCTCATTTTTCAATGGTGCCACTGGGTGCTATGGCAGCGACTTCGGAGGTGATCCTTCAGTTCTCTGGTTGAACATACCCCATGTATTGCATCCACTGGTTCATCCTTGCCGAAGACAAGAACCACACATTGAGGCTACATCCCCCATTTGCAGCCCCTTTTTTGGGGTATCCCATTTTGAAACAAAACATGACAGTTTACCACATGCACCGTTGCGGTCGCTGAGGTTTCTTAGGGATCTCGTATCTTCGTGCGGTGCTCACCAAAACGGAACCCAGAAAGGGCTGTAGATTCAGTCAACTGCTGCGAACGGTTGGGAACCTTGGCTTTGTCACTGGGTCCGGAGTTGTTTTCTGTTGCCTTTTTTTTTTTGGCTGGCATTCGGTTTCGCAGTATCAGAATCCTATGATCACCAAATCTGTACAGTACATGTATAAATCAATCAACATGATGAGATTCTCTTGCTTCAGGATCCTTGAGCAGTATTGCAGCAAGCTATGTTTTTCAAACACTTGCAATTTCACCGCCCACATGCAGAAGCCAGTGCAGTTTGTGACTTCTGTGAACGGTATTTCTAGTGATTGGTGGTTTCAAACATGGCTTTTCTTTTCCATTATGGGATGTCATCCCAACCCCATTGACGAAACTCCATCATGGGTTCCAAGATGGGCACAGCCAGCACCACCAAGCCGTTGGATCCCGACAGCCAAGTTTCATACCTTGTTCGATATAAGAAACTGATCTGTACTAGAAGAAGCGTGGCCATTGGGCTGGACCAAAAAAAGACTTGGGCGGGGAAGTTCCTGCTTTGCTAAGTTCTAATATCATTTCCATAGTTATTTCCATGTTCTTGTGTATCAAGCCTCAAAAAGAATCAAACAGATAGAAATGTGGTACAACATCCGAAGCTGAAATAGTACCTTCAATCAGTGAGTGGTCAACTTAATTTGCCCTTTTCCTATAGGCAAAAATCCAATCAATATCGGTTCCTGATATCTGCAGATGTTCTGCTGAAAATATGGTCCTCCAACTAAGGACCATGTTGATGATCTTCTTCATTATGGCACCTCGGAAGATCGAACAGAGTTTCAAAAAAAAAACGTCGTTTAAAAAGCTGGGTCCAATGGGTGGAAGAAGATAATGATCCTGGCTGGTGAACTAACATAACTACTGGTAATTATGGAACATCACAATTTTGAATGGGAAAACTCACTATAAATGGCCATTTTCAATAGCTATGTTAGTCATTACCAGAGGGTATCCTGGCTGGTGAACATTTTGCGTTGTTGGAGAGACCGCATATTGCCAAGGTTCTGTGCTCGTTACGGCTTTTAAAGTGAGATGTGCATTTCTCCTGTTGCATTAGAAGTTCTTCATTTTTGGACATATTTTCATCAGGTTCTGTACCTGCTTCCCATGATTAATCTTACATCCCGAATTATATTTCCCATTATATCTCATTATCTTTCATTTTTTGGTATTGTATGAAACCACCAATCAGAATACTATCTTCAGGGTACCACAAAATCCAAGTGGTTATCATATTTTTTAAAAAAATAAAACAGCAATTTGAGGTGTATTTTCATGTATTTTCAAACACACCCAAGTCATTTTCAGTTGGTTACAACTGACAGGAGTGTAAGGCGGGCCCCTTCAGCTTTAAAATGGTTTAAAAGAAACATCTATAGCCCCCATAGATAGCATAGTTATTTCCATTTGTTTTTTTGTTTTTGCACCCGACACGACTCACCAAGTTTCGAGCCAACTGAGCTAACTACATCCCATTTAAAGTCCATGAAATCACCATGAAATCACCATGCCATCGCCATGACATCAGGTCTTTGCTCTGCTCACGGAGCCCTTCCAATGCCGTCTGCATCCCAGAGCCTTGGCGTTTTTTGTGACTGGATCTGCCTGGATTGAAAAAGGTGCCCAGATGCGAACCATGGTGCTGGAATATTTACCTGCAAAACTGGGTCATTTTTTGGGTAAATGTAGGTAAATATTCCTGCACCATGGAGCATCTGTGATGGTTTATTCATGTTTAAGAAGCCACTTAATTCTGGAATTGTGGATATATACATATATATATATAATATTTACCAGTTAAACCGTTTAAACCTATTTTACCGGTGGCCTGGATAAATATGATATGTTCCATTCTGGTTTATGAATGTTTATTAATGTTCAGAATCCAAGGGAACAGTTTTTATTCTCCTTGGATTTATACTGTGATGAACATAATAATTGGATACATATCAATCATCCATAATCCAACAGTTGATAATTCATGATCCAACTGCAAAGGGTAAGTGGTAAGTAGATTTTGTTGTTAACTGGTGAACCCAAGAATAACACCAGGTTGGGGATGGTTTTTACCACCTTTTCCTGGTAAAATTGGGGATACATATGGTTTAATAGTTGGTGAAAACCACATTGATGTTAGTAAAGCAATAGTAAACCACCTCCCAATTTTACCACAAATGGTTGGTATACCAAACAAGGTATCAACATATGAGTGGCTTACTATTGCTTTACGAACATTACTAGATAACCTGGCAAGTGGACAACTAATTTGAAAACTATCGGTTGACAGCAAAAGGATAATCATATTGCACCATTCTATAGTTAGATAATTCCCGATATGAATCAACTATATATATATATATAATCGGTATATAGTCGGTTTGGCTATAGTTGTATATATATATTATATAAACACTCCAATAGTTAATCACTGGGATTTAAATCAATTTGATCAGGTTCATGGTAGACAGGTCGAAATGGTTTATCGCTCTGGTACCATTTTCATAGTTTGTGAAGCCATTCTAAGCGCAAGAATCTCAGTGGGTAATCACCACACGATTCGTACCGCAGTAATGTCAATGGGGTGCTCTGAAGACAGTTTGGATACCCACAAAAATAGTAACTTCAATGCAGTAAATTCAATGGGAGATCTTCAGGATCCTAAAATGGAGGTACGTTAGTACCATATGTTTGGCCATATTTTGTGGGGATATTCTCTTACATAGGCCTAAAAAATAGGCCTTATGTATGGTAGGTACCTCCAATTTAGGTTCCTGAACTGGCCATTGATAAATGATGAAAATCCGTTGGAATATGAGGTACAAAATGTTCAGCCAAACCCAAATATGTATTGTATTTTTTTGTACGATGGAATATCCCCAGCTACAAACTATAGGATCCACATCTCAGTCAGGGCTCAACTGGGATGTCTGGAGTGGCCTTAGGTGGTGTCTGGACGTTGAAAGGCCGCTATCAATCGGTTTATTGCGATGGCCGGGGGGAGCACTTGCAGATGTACATCACAGGTAGGATTTGGGCCATCCGGTTGGGTGTTGAAGCAACAATCCAAGGGGTGTATACTTGGGAGATAATGGGGGTTACATATAACTGATTGGTGGTTTGGAACATGGCTTGTATTTTTCCGTGTATTGGGAATGTCATCATCCCAACTGACTTTCACTCCATCATTTTTCAGAGGGGTTGGTTGAAACCACCAAGTAGACAATGAATTATAATGAGATGAATTTTACCAACTTGACATATGGTGTGTTTTGCCACTGAAATTTTTAACATAAACAATATGATGTTTGTCGCAATTTGGATGAGGAACATGATCCACCATCTAAAATCTATGGCAAACACATATATCTGGGGAAATTTCATCACGACCTCACTGTTCTCCCGAAGCCTGGAATCATGGTTTATTTTAGAGGAATCATCCCAACATGGCCCAACATTTCAGGTTAGTGAATTATTGTAATTTGCCCAGATATATTATATTTATGAAGTGTTTTTTGAGTTTAATATATACCATGTACACAGATGGTATTGGAATGGGCAATGGCTATGCACACTGTTTGAGAGGGCTGGAATGGTAGCCCTCAAGTCTGTGGTGAAGAGCTTTTTTCAGAGATGTTGTTGGAGAAAATAACGTGATGTTTGTGAATTGAAGAGACTTTTTTTTTGCCATACGTGCTGGATCCAATTACCAGCATTGATCCAAGAAAATGACCCAGTTGTGTTGGTAAATATTCCAATATTCCAGCACCATGGAGCCGGGATAAGAAGAGAATATGATGGCCGCCATCCCTACATGGATAAGCTGTACATATGGCCCAAAGTCACCTCCAATCGTCCTTTATGATCCTTTATGTATGTCTAACCCATAAAAGTCGTTGGTCGCCAAAGAGTAGGAAGAGCACACACAAGGACCATTTTTTGGTCGTCGTTGGATGGTTTTTTTTGGGGGAAATCTACAGGACAGCTCCATCCCGTATGGGAAAAACATGGAAACATCATCCAGTATCCTCTGGTAATTTAACGTAGCTATTGAAAATGGCCATTTATAGTTGTTTTTCTCATAAAAGATGGTGATTTTCCATAGCTATGTTAGTTTACCAGAGGGTATCCTGTACAGGTTGGTGGTTTGGAACCATGGAATTTTCTGACTTTCCATCATATTGGGAATGTCATCATCCTAACTGACTCATATTTTTTCAGAGGGGTAGGTCAACCACCAACCAGATATAATTCTATTATATATACCCTCTGGTAAACCAACAAAACCATGGAAAATCACAATTTATAGTGAGTTTTCCCATGAAAAACCATCCAGGAATCCATCCAGTATCCTATAGATTTTCCCATTTTCAGAAGCCATCTTGGGCGGTTGGCCGCAATTTCCCAGGTGCTTTGGGCTGTTTGATTCCCATCTCATTCTTAGCCCTGTGTACCTGGGTGGTTCTCGTGGAGATTCCAAAAGGTCACTTGGCTGAGGAAACCTTCGAAGACCTTCCCCGAAGAAAACGGTCGGGTCTGACTGAATACCTAAGGATACCCATATGCGAACCATGGTGCTAGTATATTTACCTACAAAATCTGGGTGATTTTTAGGGTAAATGTTGGTGAAATATTCCAGCACCATGGAGCATTTGGGCAAGGCTTTCAGCAGAAACGCAGGGTTTTTGACGATAAAAAACTAGGGTTTTTCCAGTTGTGCCGCCTGCTGATGCAACACCTGGAGCAACTTGGGCTTCTCTGAATTGGGATATATCTAAAGAATCTTTGTCGTCCAAAAGCCGAAAGAACAACATGATTTCGGACAAATTTTTGGTCTGTCGGACTGTTCCCAAACCCATGATTTTTTCACGGGTTGGCACGGGTAAATCACGGGTTTAGCACGGGTTTAGCACGGGTTGGGGAAACCCATGTTTTTTTTTTTTTATGAAACCCGGGGTTTTCCGATCACGGGTTGGCATGGGTATATCACGGGTTTGGCATGGGTTTGGCACGGGTTAGTTGACACCAAATCTCCAACGCCTGAACTTTTTCCGATTGGGGTAGTAGAATTCCGATAGGGTGAAGAAAAGCTGATGTCTGTTTCTGTCGGACCCTATGAGGTATGTACTCATTCAGAAAGCTATGGGATTGAGACATTCCGAGACAATGCCTACCTGGTGGATAGAGGGAAACCCAGGGTTTGGGGTTGAAACCTAGGGTTTTAGTTCAAGTGGTGGATAAACACAAGGTTTGTATCCGAACCCATCATTTTGTAAGGGTTTTGAAGCTAACGGTTTATATATTTATTGTATATTTATGTGTATATATATATATTATACACATTATATCATATTATATATGTATATGTATATATAATATATAATTCATATGTATATACTGTATATATATATATATGTATAGTGTTTTTTTTAAAGTATAATGTATATATATATATGATACGTACATGCTCAGCATTATTTCAATTCATTCTATGCTTCTGATCTTGAGCTTCGGATTCACTTAAACGGTCGCGTGGGGCGAGGTATTGCCTTGGTGGATACCACGGTGCTGGACGCATACTTCTTTCTGATTCGAAGATTGCGACCCGGAGCAGAGATCTTTTCCATCCTATTCCAGGCGAATGGTGGAGCTGGGGAGATAAGGATAAGGTGTTCTAAGGTGTTCTAAGGGCCCTCTATGCTTGGTTTGTTGATGTTTGTTGCGCCTCACAAAAAAAAAACCTGTACCAAATGGACCATGGCCAATATGATTATTATAATCATTATTATTGCTATTTATCTTGATGTTCTTTGTCGCGAGGATCATTCATCCATATTTTCAGGCTTGTTGAAAGCGAAGATGAGAAAGTGGGGGATTCAACCCCATGTCACCATGTCGGTGTTCAGCCCAGAATAATCGATGGCTAAGACGGCTAACAAGTGATAAGACGTAACCCCTACTATAATTCTATAGATCTTACTAGTGGCTAGTGGTTGTTGGTAGATAAGTTTTGCCCTCAATAGACCATGAGTTCAAATTCAACCGCCGTTTCTGGCCAGTTGTTCCACCTCAAACCTGGTGAGATCTCGATCTTTCACACATGCAGGTCACGTAGGCGGCAGCAAGCCAAAAGTATCCAACAGTTTATTTGATCACTGCATGATGCAGTGTGTATAATTGTATGTAATTATATATATATCTATCTATATATATATATATCATATTATATACAATATAATATATATATAATATCATATAATTTATATATATATATATCATATCATATCATATTATATATAGACAATTGTAGAAGTTGATGAGGACAGAGTTGGCGATGGTTTTGTCCCGCAGATATGAACATGTTTTTGTTTGGGCCAATGATGGCAGTTACGGCCCATAGCATCTTGAAATCCCCAGGGGGTTCAATTCCTCCCATGTTTTGTTGTGGAAGTTGGAAGTATGGACGCCCTGAGTGTCCTTCCTCAACTCGGCCATTGCACCATTGACTATTCACCGACATTCCATGCGTTTTTTTAAATCTCCGATCTTCGTTGAGGATGTATGGTATGTGTTTCTTCTATATGTTGCTCCCGTTTTGGTGATAGTGATCCCCGCATACCTGAAACTAAGTTGACATTGCACTTCTGTGCATGTAAACATATGTATACATATATATATATACATATATATATATATACATATATATAACATATGTATCACACATATTTTTTCATTTGACCACACCATGTGACATTCGCCCAATATTTTCATATTTAATAGATGCATCTTTCAATATATGCTGCAGACCATGCAGCAAAGTGTATCCCATCAAATGATGTCATATCGTGGGTCCCATCGGACCTGAAACCATGAAATATCATCAAATGGCACAATGAAGCCCATTAGATCTCATTCAATCACCGTTTCGGCTGATAAAGTCATCAAGTGGGAAGTCCTGCCATAAACCTACTATGATCGGGGATGGTTAAGTTTTTTCTCAAGTCCCGGGACTTGGGGATGGTAAACAGCCAGCCATGGCAGGGTGGATCCGGTCCCATGTTTTTTGGGTACCCTCCAGTAATTTTGGCCAATGAATTTCACCATAATACATAAATCGAATGTACAAGTGGGACATCTTCAACTGGTTGGTGGTTTCAAACATGGCTGGATTATTTTCCATAATCTGTGGGATGTCATCCTTCCCATTGACGAACTCATATTTTTCAAGATGGGTTAAAACCACCAACCAGTCAATATTGGGGTATGTCAAATTACCATGAATACCATGGTAATATTAATGTTAATTATACATGGGTACCACAAGACCACCAGGATCACTATTCACTTTGACATTGTCAAAGTACCGAATCCAGCGGGGTATTCATTTAAATGTTAAAATACCATGATCGGGTATTACCCTCTGGTAAACAGCCACATAACTATGGAAAGATCCACCATTTTATAGCTGGGTAAATCAACTATTTCGACTGGGCCATTTTCAATAGCAAACTGTTAGTTTACCAGAGGGTAAGTATTTTCCCAAAGATTCTTCAGATATTCCCAGTGTTCGTGGAAAAGCTCTAGTCCCATACTCCCATTTCAGAAACCCTGCAAAGCACCAGTAAGTTGACCACGGTGATGGATGTCAAAATACCATGTCTGGTCAACGGACAGGTGCGCAATCTCTTCGTGGTCTTGTGCCCCTTGGTGCCGTCCATCACTGGCACCTTGCCATTTTTGGCACGGGGACACGGCGATCTGCTGCAGTTTATGGAGGCTTTTTACATGGTGAAAACCATGTTTAACAAACGAACATGGAGGTTTAACCATCAGAAATGATGGGTTTCACTTCAACTCGGGATTTTTTGAGTAGCAAAATTAGTCATGTATCTTTTCAGCAGCCATGAGAATTTCCAGCCACAATTTATGATAGTTGGATTTGGATGGCTAGGTGAATCCAAGGGGGAATAGTCAACCAGCAAGACTTGGGAAATCCATCGTTTTTTTGTTCCCCGAAAATGGTGGAGACACCCAAATGGCAATATGGATGGGAAAATCCTAAACAAAAATCCTGCATCTTTGATCCATCTTAATCTTTCGGAGATCTTCAAACCCATCTATCTTTGCAGTTGGTGGTTGGTTGTTTCATGTGGTTCCCTTCCATGGATTATATGTATATATATATACAGTTGGGTTGAAGCAGATTCACCTTAAATCCCTCTGTGGAATCATGATCTTGGCTCATATGCCATGACTTTGATTGCCACTCATTCGCACTACATGGTATATATAATATGTATAATGCTATATACCATTCTATCCGGATAGTGTATTAGTGTGTATATCAACCTCCAACAAACGCACTACAACCAATGGATACCAATGGTTCATATTGGAGAAAGCTCTCCAAAGCTCCTGATTTTTTTTGTTCAACTCACCGGAAGTTTGAAAGGCGAAAAGCTGAACAAATGCGAGGCAAGTTGCTGTCTGTGGGCTTGATCCTGTCAATCAACTTGATCCTTGGCGTTGAATGGCCATCTGCCAAGGAACTGGGAAAAAAGTCCGACTGGTATGAAAGATATGATTAAATATATATATATATATATTGATATAACTATATATAACTGATAAATGTATATTGAATATATAATGACTAATATGATACTATCCATTAGTTTTTGTCAAGCCTCAAAATTTCTTATGTTTTCGCCTTTTCGCTGGGGCAGATCTCTGTGTTTTTCGTTTCGTTTCCCGAATTCACCAAAACCTGAGATGGCCATGGCTATTGACTTCTTTGGAAGTAGGATACCTCCAAATCCAATGATTTTATCATCATAATATGAAAATGGCCAGTTTGGTTCATGATGTACAAATTTGATGTTCTAAGTGTTGATTTTCTATATGTCGACCGAAAAAAATCCATCTCAAAATGGCCAGGCCATGGTGGCCCTTTTTTCAATGACACCCATATCAGTTCAGCGGCCAATGAACCACACAAAGTGAGACGCGTGGAACTCCGGACAGAAAATTCACGCTAGCAAGGCATTCTTACCCTCTGGTAAACTGTCACATAGCGAACCGGAAAATCACCATGTTCAATGGGTAAATCCACTATTTCTATGGCAATTTTCAATAGCAACCTATAGTGAACTGGAAAGATCCACCATGTTCTAGCTGTGTAAATCCACTATTTCGACTGGGCCATTTTCTATGTCGCAAAGTGTTAGTTTACCAGAGGGTAATCAGCAATAAACATAGAAACATATAAGAATAGAAATGGCCGCCAGCAGGAGCCCTATTTGTACACAATTATTCATCCGTATTCTTACACCTAAGCTTAGGAGCAAGGACATACCTAGAAAAATTAGAACATATGCCAAAAAATGTTGCATTTTTTGATTGAACAGATGTATCTCATGAGTTTATCCTTGGATCACGTGGAGTCGAATTCGAATTCGAATCTGCCCAGGATTCTGGTGGTTCACGTGAAGCCCTGGCGTTCGGCCGTGTGCAATGTGTTGGACGTCGTGCTGTTGTGCGGCATCTTGGGAATCATGGAAATGGCTGCCATGCTGCCTGGCCTCAGTCACACCGTGAAACCTGCAGGGAATTCTGTGCTTTTGACATCTGAACATCTGGGAAAAAATGGAAAAACACATCCCTTGGTTTACATACCATTTTCCTGTGAAAATGGCTGTAAATGATGATATCACCATTTTCAGACAAGCCCATGTTGTCTATTTGTTTGATTGACAGTCTTTTGGGTGTTTTTCTTGATGGTCAGTCTGGATTTTTCGTGTTTTCATGTGTTTTCTGGTTTTGGTTCTGGGATCTTTGGGATGAATTGATGGGTAAATCTATATAGGTATAGGCCACATGCTGGCGACAAATGAGTCTATTCGGATACATCCAACCAGAGTGGTGCTGTGACTTGTGCTATACTTGTGCTTTAGGGAGCTTTTGTGCTTGGAGATAGAAGCCCTACTGTCCAGATGTTCCCAAAGAAGCAACTTCAGCTTGGATTTGTATTTCCAATTCCCTATAGATGTTTCGAAAATGTGGGTGTGTCTAGTCCAGTTGGGTATACAGTACACATAATTTCATATTTTCATACCACCAAAATGGTCATTTTAATACCATAGACACACCAATTTCCTATAGATGTTTCCGGTTCATACCACCAAAATGGTCATTTTAATGGGGAACCGGTCTTTCTTTAACCAGTGCACCAGTGGCCATGTTCACAGAATCACCGGGACGAGTGGAGACATCCCTCACTAAGTTGGTAAACACAACTCCAATAACAATAATCAGAGTATCTATATATATAATATAATATTGTATAGTGTTGGATTTATGGTGGATATATCTAGAATTACTGTATGTAGATATTTTTTCCCATATGCTAAAAGCCGCTGGAATATTAAACAAACACATTTTCACGCAAACACTGACCCCAATGTGAAGTATATGGGTATACTTCGATGGATGAATATCAAGTCATTAAGCAACACTCACAAAATCTCTCCGGTAGTTACCCTCTGGTAAGTTAACAGTTGGCTATTGAAAATGGCCCAGTCGAAATAGTTGATTTACCCAGCTATAAAATGGTGGATCTTTCCATAGTTATGTGGCTGTTTACCAGAGGGTAAACATGGCTGGAGAATCCACTGTTTGGGTTCGATGTTTCTCCCATTCACAGCTCGATGACGTGGGGATTTCCTACGTTTGATGACGAGGTTCGTGCAGGATGTCAGCTCCCAGACCAACATTTGGATCGCATCTGGGCTAAAAAAAAGCTGATCAACACTTGGAGACATGGCAAAATATATAGGAAAGCAAAGTCAGAGTTTGGAAAAGTAATGTATTGAAATGTGATGAATTACTTTTCTACATTCATAATTATACAACCTTTGCATGGAACAATATCATGAGTTAACAGGGATTATATGGGTTTCAAGCATCAAATTAAGTATCATCATGAAATTATGGTTGGTTTGTGATTACATTTGGATAAATTATGATGAGGCTGCGACGTCACGGAAATGATGGATAGTACTAATAGTAGCTATCCCAGAACGGCTCCATTTCAGTTTAGATCATCTTTGTTTCCAGATGAACAGAAATTGAATACCCTCTGGTAAGCTAACATAACTATGGAAAATCACCATTTTTAATGAGTAAATCAATTAGCCTCTAGAGGGTAAATAAAAGAATATATATATATGTATATATTTATATATCAATATTGGCATGATGGACTATATCGACTATATCCCTATAGCATTGGATCAATGGATGGTCATCAGCCATGAAAATGGGGCTTACTATACCCATTAGTCTAGGGATGACCATAACATGCGGTGGGGTGGGCAGGTGGAGAACTCAACCAACAGCCATGAGAAACTGCTGAATTTTCGGGACAGTTTAAAGTAGACCATCATGTTTCACGGGAAAGCCATATGGAAAACAGCTAGATATTTCTTCTAGATATTCCCTGACTATATCCCACAAAGTCTTCCTACAAATCTGTAGATTCTGCAGATGTCGGCTTAAAAACATCCTCCAAAATCACCAAAAAAGGGTCGGTGCGATTTTGATGAGGTCATGCTGTGCTTTTGCGTTGCTTGGCGGCACCTGCCAAGGGAATTCAATAGTCTGATATGAACCATGAAAAATCACCCTTGGGATTTAACAATGAGTTCATAAGGTTTCATAAGGGTCTAATGACGGTTTAATGATAAAGCTCTATTAAAGATATTTACTTACATATATAATTGATATGTATGATATATACATATTGATGAATGATGAACTAACCCAAAATTGACGAGATACCCATCAACCAACCAGCATAATGAGATTGGGTTCATTGTAGGGAGTTATACTATCCAATCATCTACAATCATCATCCATGGACAGTACAATCATTCAATGATTGTATAATGGTTGATTGATTGATAGTATTGTACTATCCATATTATCCATGGATGATCAATCATTGTAGGGAGTCATACTATCCAATCATCTACAATCATCCGTTTGGGATACCCTTTGGTTATTTAACATAGCCATGGAATGGTCCATTTATAGATGGTTTACCTATTAAAAATGGTGATTTTCAATAGCTATGTTAAATAACCAGATGGTAGTATTATCATCATCCATGAAATGGGAATCCTAGTCTTGACCTAGACGTAGGAACCATGGATGGAACGTTGCGTTGCTTTCTACATGGCGCATATCGGAACAGTGACCTTCAATGTTTCTTGAAGGTCCAAGAATGTAGAAGACTCCATTCAGAAAGAACAAGCAAAACCACAATTAGGATTGTTTTTGTTTTTTTGGGATTTGCTGGTTGCGCTTACCTGTTTTGGGTGGTGCATTTCTTGATGAGCCGCCTTGACCAATCCCAAACGGGAAATGATTTAGTTGGAGGAGTGTATATATCATGTCTGACTTTAACAGATACTGTAGCAGGTTTGGTGCTGTCATCTTTGCATTTCTCCATCTGTTTGGTTGGAAATAGTTGGGATGTTGATTTGTTTCTGACTGTCCATCGCCAAATGTTGATGAGCATATTCTTGGTACTGGCTCAACCACAAGTCGGATTGACAGGGTCTCTTTTTGTTTGATGGCTACAGAGAGTTATAGAAACTGGTTCAATGGAGGTTGTGAAACAATCCATGAACTGGGGATGGGTCAAAACCCTGGTACCTAGTGAACCCCAAAATAGCTGGTAAATGGATGTTCATCCCACTAAAAATGTATCTATAGGTATTGACCCATACCCAACTGGAACCATTGTGTTCTTGTCAAAACATGGTGTACCCCGAAATTCAGTTCTTCATCATTTTGCTTACTGGAATTGCCAAGTGTATATATCGGTTGTGGACAAATCCATTTCATATTCCTTAGTCCTTGGCTATCCTGACATATCATAATCCATTATTTCCACATCCAATGACTGGCTTTAAACCCCATGACTTGAGTGGATTGCCATATGTACATGTTTTAATTTATCCTGCAAGAACAATATATATATATATATATATATGTATGCTGTATATATATATGTGTGTTGATTAATTTATGGTCATATCCCCATTTGGTTGCTTGAATTGTTAACGAGTCGAAGACTCTCAGCCGTTTGGTGACTTGATTTTAGCTTTCTGTTTGTGACGAAAAAAATCAGGTTTGTTGGAAAATAGGCTATCCCGAAATTTGATGGCTGCTATCATGACGTCCTCTTTTGTCAATGGCCAGAACCTGGGTACTTATATTCCATTTCCAGACACCCAAACAGCCCAAACAGTTATGGTTGGTTAATGTTGATGATATATCCCATTCTATCCCCATTAGATCCTGTTATATAAATCCTTATTGTTGATGGCTAATCGAGCCATTAAAAATACCCTGGTTAATTGATTACTATAGGGGATTTGCAGCTACCTGGTTTGCTGGGGATTATGATAACCCATAGTAACAAAATAGTAGGGAAACCCATCAACATCCATCAACCAACTAGTAAACTAGTATTTCATGAGATGGGAATCAAAACGGGCTATTTTGAATGGCTCAAAACATGTGATTTTTTTAGGTGATGATGCTGGGAATCTTCGGTGCAATCGCCTTTGGAGTCCATAAGAGCTGCCGCCAGAAGTATCAAAAGCAGTTCAAGTTCTTTCTCTGTCCCTTGGATTCCCCAAGGGATTCCCCAAGGGATTCCCTTGGATTTTCGGTAGATTCCCTTGGATTTTCGGTAGATTCCCTTGGATTTTTGGGTGGATTCCCTTGGATTCCAACTCTGATTTTACGAAGAAAACAGGAGGACTGTAGGAATCTCAACATGGAGGCCCCGCCCATTTTGGAATTGCCGAAAAGCTGCAGTCGCACGATGGGTCAAATAGACTTATAGATATATCAAGTAGATATTTACTGGGTATAATATGGTATAATTAGCATAGATAGTGGGTTATAGGTATAATCAACATATAGGCTTAGATAATGGTATGATCGTGGATTCTTGGTATAACTAACATATTCCGTGGAGACTGACATCCTTTTGCCATTAAAAAACACATTTTGGATGCAGGGCTACGTGTTTGATGCACGGTCGTTTAAAAAAAAACTAACACCTCGGTAGGTTTGGGGATATGGGTACCGCATATCAAGGATTGCTAGGCATTTCATGTTTCTTTTATATACCAGTAAAGATCCAGTAAAGTACATACCAACAAAAAGTCGTGAAATGATTGCTAACATTTGCTAACCGATTGCTATTGTGTAAACATGCCGATTTCATTGTGCTATCCCACGTTGAATTTCGTGATATCCCAGCTGCAGCCCCTATCAAAAATCAATTTTAGAACACACATATACACACACCCATATATATATTATATGTATATCATACGATAATGTATATCATCAGGTCTAGGTTAGAGGATATAAACCTATATAATATCCTAGAACTGAATCATATTTAGATACAGATCTTATATATGATCTTCTGATCATTTCTATGTCCACCAAGAGTTCGCCCAGTGGGGCCCCTCTTGGTTCCAACCAGGTCATCATAAAGCGGCCTCGGGCTGCATGGCCAGACTGCTGAAGATCGAACTGCATCAGCGACTTCCGCGGAGCTGCTTCGATTCGAAGTGCTGATTGAAGGCATGGTTTTTCGAGGTAAATCATGGATAGCATAGCTAATTCTTTCTCAAGATGGATGATGGTTGATTGGTCATAGGGGGTTATACCACCTGGATTATTGGGTACTATGAACTAACCCATAATTAACGGGATCACTATATCGACCAATCAGTATTTCATGGGACGGCGTGACGGGGTATTTTTCACGGCTCAATTGTTATCTTATGCGGATTTCCCACCACCCCCGAATAATAAGGGCTCATCAAAGGGTTATAGATTGTTAGCCACCAACAAGCACTAATAAGTCTGATAAGGTCTAAAAAAACTATCCATCATTTGGGGGATCAAGTGTTGCTTATGTTCCTCCATATATTTGGGGGATGAAGATCCATTTCATTTCCAACTACTTTGGGGTGACAGAGTCGGGTGTGGTTTTGACTCATAGCCAAGTGAAAACTAGGCTTGTCTCTTAAAAAAGAGGATACTTTCCAAATAAAAAAGATGCAATTCATTAAACACTGGGTAAACTGATTATCCTACTGATTATATAGTTTAATGATTATCCTGGGTAAACTGATTATCCTAACCTTTTTATCCCAGTTTTTGATGGGAAACTGATTTTCTCTACTGGCTGAATCAAAGGGCCTCATCACTGGGGAAACCATTTGACAAAATGGTGACAGAATCCTTCTGATTTGGGAATTTTATATAGCCAGAATCCAAGCTGAAGTGACATTTCTAGGATTTTCTGGGTCTTCACTGAAAACCTGAAAGTGATTTGAGGTGGTTCAGTGAAAATTAGAGGTGCCATTTGACCGGGGAATCTTCATACTTTATGATACTTTCACGAGTGAATCTGTACTTGTAGGTGTACCTTTTTGGTAGTACATTATAGTATATTATCACTGATTTGGAAGGGTACCTTGAGATGAATCAAGCGGTTTGTTACGGATTCACGTTGCCGCCCTTCGCCTCTGCGCAAAGCTGATCCTGCTGTGTTTGGTTGCCAACAAGATCTGGCTTGATATTTACAACCGGGCTTGTACCTAAGTGCTAGGTTCACTTTTCCTTCAAATACTTGCCATTTTGATCCATTTTGAATCTTCATGCAAATGTAGACCCAAACAAGAGATGAAGAGTTGAATGTCTAGCTGTTTTTTTGTTCGCGCATGGGTATCAGCTGTGGTCTCGCAGCTCTGTGATTCCATGGATTCCGAGATTCCCCATGACGCGGTTCGGCATCATCGCCGAACCGCGGCTTAGGTAAAACCTTTGTGGATTGCGATGACTTGCTGAACCTCACACGTTTGTTTGGCTACGTCGGTCAGGAGGGGACAAACTCCATAGTCAGGTTGCCCTCTGGCAAACATACGAAAAACTATGGCAGACCACCATTTTTGATGGGTAAATCCGCTATAAATGGGCCATTTTTGATAGCAAAGTCTTAGTTTACCAGAGGGTAGCGCTAGCCCAGCTGGTTGAGTCATCCCCGGGTGAGGAACCAAAGATTGGCCCTGGGTGGTTGGAATATGAAACACTGGTCCCAAAGATTGATGGCACATTTTCACATTTTCCATGGTTTCTGGGGGTTGTCGAAGATCGGGAAATAGTATGAAATAGCTGAATGAACGCTCAGGTGAATTTTAGGACCAAATTTTGAAGAAACATTACGATATTCATCTTGAGAGATGACAAGTGACCATTTCAAGCGAGGGATCCCCAACGCTTCGTTCCATTTCCTCGGATCCAGATGCTTTTCCGAGCCAAACCTTCGGAAGTGTCCGTGTTTGTCATGGGGGTACCCCATTTTCATGCGATTTTCATGGGATTTTCCCGTAGAAACCAGCCATTGGGGTATCCCTATGACTATGGAACCCCCCATTTTGTATGTATGGTGATTTGATATTTCCCCACCTGCCAGGTGAGGGTTGTTAGATTTTATGTCAGTTGCCTCCTCCTCCTGCTCCTCCTCCTCCTCCTGCTCCTCCTCCTCCTCCTCCGCCTCCTCCTGCCTCGTCCTCCTCCTCGTCCTCCTTGTCATCCTTGTCGTCCTTGTCGTCCTCGTCGTCCTCGTCGTCCTCAACTGCGACCCGCGATCCACAGTGTTCTCTGCCGGACCTCAACCACGACCACCCACGCCCAGTGTTCCCTGCCGGACCTCAACCACGACCATCCACGCCCAGTTTCCCTGCCGGACCTCAACCACGACCATCCGCGCCCAGTGTTCCCTGCCGGACCTCAACCACGACCATCCGCGCCCAGTGTTCCCTGCCGGACCTCAACCACGACCATCCGCGCCCAGTGTTCCCTGCCGGACCTCAACCGCGACCATCCATGTTCCCTGACATATCTTCTGACATATCTTTTGGCATTCTATCTGGCATTCTTCTGGCATTCTATCTGGCATATCTTCTGGCATTCTATTCTATCTGGACATTCTATCTGGCATTCTATCTGGCATCTTCTGGCATTGTATATGGCAGATCTTCTGGCATTATATCTGGCATATCTTCTGGCATTCTATCTGGCAAATCTTCTGGCATTCTATCTGGCATTCTATCTGGCATATCTTCTGGCATATCTTCTGGCATATCTATCTGGCATATCTTCTGGAATATCTTCTGCCATATCTATCTGGCATATCTTCTGGCATATGTTCTGGCATTCTACCTGGCAAATCTTTCCCTGCCGGACCTCATGTAGGAAGATATGGGACAAAGAATGTGCAGAAGAAAGTTAGAAAGAATTTCAGACAAGTATGTGATATATTACTTGCGAACTTGCAGGTGTGTGGTAGTGTGATCGGGGCAATGCCACTATTGACTTTGCGGGTGGCAAAGTTTGAAGCAATCAGTTTGAACAGATGACAGAGTCACTGGGGTGGACAGAGACATTTCCATTTCTGTACCTTTGTACAATGACCTGCCAGGTGAAACAAATGATTGGGATAGTTAGTTGGGCAAAAGTCCCGTGACAAAAGCTTCAGACAAAAGTGCTGTCAACTAGCTGTTTTGAAATGTCATGGTGGGGATCACTCGAAGTAAAGTAATTTTTAAATATGTTTTAATGGTTTATACCCCCTATTTATGATGATTTGCGAATTTTTGATGGTTTATGTTTGATTTTTGGAGCATTTTCGTCCAAAAATGCAGCAGCTTCCCTGCAGGACACTGAGACCTTTGTGATCCTGGGAAGTCCGGCGATCTTCACAAGGACCGGGGGACCCGGGCTGCTGTGAAATGCCCGGCGAAAGGCAGGAAATGCTGGCAAAATCGGGCACATATTCCATCATATTCCAATATCTCCCAGCGGAATGGAGTTACTAACCATGGATCCAAGCAGCAAAAATAATTTGTGTACAACCGTACAAGCAACAGAAGGGATAGGACGGGATTGGATTTTAAGAAGAAAGGGACAAATTCGAAATATGCAACTTACCGCGATAGGATTGTGTGTATAGAACTTTGCATGATTTGGTGGACATGTGCTGCATGCTGCTTTTCTCTTTTGGATATAACATGTAATGTTGGCATTAAGCGATTACCCTCCGGTAATCAAACGTGACAATGGAACATCCACCATTTATAGATGGCTTTCCTGGCTTTCAACAACCATAAAACTATAGGATTTTCCATTGCGGCAAGTGACTGATTACCTTAAATGGTATACGTGGCTGACGTGGCTTGGATAACGTCCACTGAAATCCTTGGATGGCATGGAAGCTCCGCTAGTCCTCAGGAAGTGGTGCGTCGGAGAAATGGTCACTGCACAGGCGGGCACCTCACGAGCTATTCGGGTCACGTCAGGTCAGGCCTGTAATTTTGTCACATCCGTAGTTTATGATAATACACATTGATTAATATATATATATATACACATATATATATATATATACACATATATATATATATATACATATGCACAGAATACTGGAAATAAAATTTGATACCTTCAAGGCCCCTCTTTTTGGGCTGGTTTTGGCCTTGCCGGTTTTGGCCAGCATTAAATCCTGAAATCAGCTTCAGGACCATATGTAGATGATCCAGTGCTTCCAGATGTGCACAGTGATGACTTCCTGCATCGGTGTATTGCTTGGACCCCCCCCGTGGCATTTGGTCAAAGCCCGGGAATTTAGGCCTCTCTTCCCATGACTTCACGATACGTGGTGCTTCCCTACATGGAAAAAATTGGAAAAACATCCCCAAGTGGCCCAACAAGTTCGTGCATGTCTGGAGGCCTACTTGTGGGTACATCCCACGGATCGGATGGGGAATGATATGCACATTAGAGTAGTCTAGTAAAGTCTCTATACTTATCATTGGAATATCCTGAGTCAGATGTGGGCCATCAACCACCTTTTCTTCCCACATATATATATATATACTATATATATATATATATACATGTATTTATATCTATTATTAGTATACATATATATATATACATACACTCAATTTTCTAGGCGTAAAACAGATACAAACACATCATCTGGAGCGGTTCCTTAATCGATCGGCAGGTGAATGGCGTGAGGACCGTCCTGGTGGCCTGGCCCACCATGGTGATGCCAGATGAGCGGCTGGGACGAATCGGGAGGAATCGAGGTGATTTAATGGTCATTTAATGGTGATTTTTGATGGGATTTGCTTGGATTTGGTGATTTTTGATGGGATTTACTGGGATTTTACTGGGATTTACTGATTTTTGATGGGATTTACTGGGATTTTACTGGGATTTACTGATTTTTGATGGGATTTACTGGGATTTTACTGGGAGTTACTGATTTTTTGATGGGATTTACTGGGATTTTTGTCGAGCTTTTTGAAGGTGATCATCCTTTTTTGAATATGCGTGATTATTTTTACAAGGTTTTTTGACATGGTGAGTTGGTGGTGATATATATATATATTATATATTATATATATATAATGGTGATATTTTACGGTGATTTTTTATCAGATTTTTTTGAGGCTCTGGCCATGGTGAAACCAGAGGGATGTCATGGGATGAACTGTGGGATGAAGTTGTTACCCTCTGGTGAACTAACAGTTTGCAATGGAAAATGGCCCAGTCGAAATAGTGGATTTACCCAGCTAATAGCATGGTGGATCTTTCCATTGCTATGTTAGTTCACCAGAGGGTATCAAGTTGTTATCTAAGGTAATGATCGCGGCTTTCTGAAAAAAAAGTGATGTGATTTCGGTCCTTCATTTGCCCAATTTCGCAGGTAGGCTGTTAGGTTCAATGTGGAAATCCGAGAGGCGACAGTCAAGGTGACCACTTGAGCAGTGACTGCATGAAAAAGCCGCCTTGTTGGTTATTTCAAGAGATTATCCTATGAAATTCTAGGGAGTTTGAAGCAAAAATATGTATATATGATATATCTATGAGGATATAGTTGATAGATAATGGTTCATGATTTGTTCGGGAATATACATGGACTTGGATTCATGTTTAAATTAATACAATACAGATATAGAATTTTCATATTTAGAAATAGAACCTGGTGGATTTATCCTCTAATTTAACATAGCTATTGAAAATGGTGATTTATAGTGGATTTACCCATTGAACATAGTGATTTCCATATAGTTTTTTGTATGTTTACCAGAGGGTAAATATGACAATTACCCTCTGGTAAACTAACATAGCTATTGAAAATTGCCATTTCCAGTTGATTTACCCATTAAAAATTGTGATTTTCCATAGTTATGTTAGTTTACCAGAGAGTACAGCTGGATCATGGCCAGCTGAGAAGTCTGACCGAGGCAGTTTATCTTGAACTATCGGAGCATTGTTCCAGACCCTTTGTCGCATTTGCCTTGGCTGAAACTGAGGTATACCCATGTATACCCACAAAAAAATGCACTGTTTGACATTCTATTCTAGTAATTTAACCATGACTAAGATTATTAACCATAACTAACATTATTTTGGTTGAACGTGATGATTAACCATGACTAACCAATGTGAAACTGGCGGTACCCATGTTTTTGAACCCACTTGACGTGAGAGTAAACTGTGGTCGTTCAACAAATGTCCGTCTCATGAAAGGAAATGGTTGTTGGATCGTCGGTGGGCTTTTAGAATGTTTCAGATATTTACCCTCTGGCAATCTGACATGGCTATGAAACACCGACATTTTTGACCGGAAAATCTACTGTAAATGTGTCATGGTCAATAGCTATGGTAAATTACCAGAGAACACGCGAAAAACTCTGGAAAACCAACATGTTTAATGGGTAAAGGGTAAACCATCTTCCCTAAATGGGCCATGTGTTTTTTTCCTTAGCTATGTCAGTGTACTGAAGAGGATGATGATTGAGAATGAGAGGCACATTCTTGGGATGGGGCTGCAAGATAATGCAAGATACCCCTGGTGGTTGACGATTAGTATAGGGGTATACGACCCGTAATATATAGGAATTCTCATTGAATCCAGTGTGGGAATTGCCAACCAGATCCAAGCAATGGAATGACGGAGGGTAACACTGCGAAAATGTTTATGATGTGTTTAAGCTAGTTTGAGCCATTCCAATGGTATGCCACCCAATGGCATTATTCCAGATCCACAACACTTCAGTTCATAATCATCCTTCTTTTCATATAATATTATTGTATTTCACGAACATAGATATGTGATGATATGTGTATATAATCATCCTGAAGTAGATCATGGAAATTTCAATCAGAGCCGCATTCTAGTAAGGATTTATATAGAAATTTCCATATTCTATCTCCAGGATGACGAATAATATACACCTTCATTTGCAAGCAGCCTGCCAGCTGCTTATCTGGAGAACTGAGCCAGGTCAAGCGTTGCCAGTTTTTTTTTCCGGTGTTTTTTTTTTAAATAGTTAATAGATTTTAATAGATTTTAATAGATGTCAACTAGTTTTCATTGTTTTTAGAACATTGGTACAATGTGAGGCCCCCCAGTGATGTTTGTTGGTTTATAAGCCCCAATAACTATAGTTATAAGCACCATAAACCATAGTTATTGGAGTTATAAACCAACTTAGCTATCTTGGGGGCCTCACATTGTATAATATACCCTCAGTTGGAGGCATGGTCACCCTCTGGTTATTCAACAGTTTGCTATGGACAATGGTCCATTATAGATGATAAACATGATGATTTACCGTTTTTAAAAGCGATGTTTTTCCATCGCCAGCTTAAAGAACCAGAGAGCGCCTGTAAATACATTCAAATTGGACAGGACATAACATAGATATTTGGATGTGAAATGATTAATTGATAGTTACATATTACATAAGCAACATTCATACATGCCAATTTGAGTTGAACTAATATGCCACTATGAACATGGATAGTCTTTCAATTTTGGGCCCAAAAAATAGGTTGATCAGTTGTGGCCATCATTTCTGGTCACTGAAAAAAAGCCATGGGTCAATCCCGTGGAAAAATGGTCACTTCACAGCCCGAGACGTCGAACAGCCAACGTAAAGGGCTGGTTGACCGAAATACCTGGGATGATCTTTTTGGGGTTTCCAACTAGTCACGGGGATACCCAAGAAATGGATGTTTTGTCAAATGGGAAAATCCCATGAATGACAAATGCTGCTTGGTGGTTTCAAACATGGCGTCTTTATGACTTTCCATTCATATTGGGAATGGAATAATCATCCCAACTGACGAACTCCATCATTTTTCAGAGGGGTAGGTTGAAACCACCAAGCAGTTTAAACCTCGGGCGCCTGCCAGCAGACCTCATGATCTACTTCTTGGAGCCCCCAAAAAACACGACCGTTTCCGATCGTTGTTTTAAGCCCCGAAAAATTCATACATCCGCGACACAGTATCCCGAATTTTACCATCTGAGTAAAAATATGGAATTATGGTATATCATATATTATTATATGGTAAAAATATCCCGATATTTTCCAGTATCCGAAAATGAAAATGAACATATGAGTAACCGACAAAGTTATTGTAATACTAATTTAGTTGTGTTTTGCCTTGGCCTTGAGGGGTGTGCAAGACCTTCGATTCATTGCGGATAGGGGACGACCCTATACACTACCGTTTTTGGGGGATGTGGGGATGTGCCTAATTTGCGCATGGTATGAACATAAACAAGTAATTGTTGTCCGCTATTCAGGCTATTCATATGAACATATACGTCATATGAATATTTTCACATATGAACCACGTTTCTTTATCTCTACTCCATCCCCCTATCAGGAGATCAAAGATCTTACCAAGTTTGGCATCAATCTACTAGACGTGAAGAAGACCTTGAGGCTGGACAGGTGGAAACAATAGGAAAGGAAACTGTAGAATCCAATGGAGACTTGATCAAGAAAACCAATGATTCAGTCAATCAATGCATTGATTAACAAGTCGCAGGTAACCATCTATCATGATGGTACCCCCAAAGTATCCAAAATATTCCGGGTTGCTCTCAATCTTCTCTTCAACTTGTGAGAAAAACGCTTCCCAAAAGAACCTGGAGACCGCAGCAATCCCAAGAACGGCGACGCGACCTTGGAAGGCTCCTAGAAACTGGATGGTCATTCCAATTCTCATATACCCTCTGCGAAACTAACATAACTATAGAAAATCACCATTTTTCATGGGAAAACTCACTATAAATGGCCATTTATAAAGATGGTCTCCCGCAAAACAACATCACTGGGCAAACAAAAATCACTCCTTTGGGACGATGATAAATTGCTATTGAACTTGGTGCCCACTATGAATGATGGAACAACCATCCATCTTGAAATATCTTGAAATACAATTCCATATTATTCATGTTCATATCGATTGGTCATGCAACCTTAGGGGGGATGTTGATTACTCTTGAACAGTGATACATCATGATACATTATGATACATCACTATTGAAATCGGGATAACTTACATAGTACTTATTTTACTAGACTATTGTTAAAATAATAGTGAATTACATTTTTTTTCAAAAGCTTACTATGAAATGACCAGGAATACACCAGGAGTCTATTCATAATCCTCCTAGATGCTCCATGGTGCTGAAATATTTACTAGCATGTACCCTTAAATCACCTAAATGAAAATGTAAGTAAATAGACCAGCACCATGGAGCATATGGGATATGTTATGTATCCTATATCTAAAATAGTGACAATTATTACATTTCTAGCCTCTTCAGAAATCATTTTTGATAGGTAAAACATCGTATCATCGCACTCACTGGACCATTCTACGTGAACGAAAGGCGATATTTTCTATCTATATCTGGTTGGTGGTGACTGGAATATGACTGGATTATGACTTTCCATATATATATATTCCTAGAAAGCCGTATGGACAATTTTTTTTGTCCATTACTAGTATTACCCGTGATGAACGTTTTTTTTGTTCAAATGCGTATTTGACCGTATTTGGATTTATCATCTTTTATCATCTTTTATTATCATCTTACATAATATAAGAATATGTATATATATATATATATTCTCGTTGCAGCCCAGCCGCTTCAGGTGCAGATCGTTTCCCGGATCGTTGGATCAAGCGGGCAGTGCGGACAGGATAATATAATATTTTTTTTTAATAATATATATTAGTCCTACGATTGGGGCTACGGCTACGATGAGGAGACCTACAGCGCTGAGGCTTGGAGTGATGGACAATGGGAATGGAGCGAGGAGTCTTCCAAGGATGACACCAGTAACCTTGGCTCCATTCCGGAGAACGAGAGGTACCAGGAGGCGTACAACATCGCCCAGGAAGCCAACAAGACGCTAGCAGAAGCTCGTCAAGCAGTTGCCAAGGTGCGTGCTGCTAGGGGCTATTATGACCCTGCTGGGATGAAAGGCTCAACAAAGGCACGGCTACCTGAACTGTCCTGAAAGGTTTTCAGCCAAAGGTGGAAGTCCGACCGGATCTCCAACGAAAGGAGGCAAGATGAAGGGCAAAGGAAAACGTACGTCCAAGGGAAAGATGAAGGGCAAGTTCGGCAAGCCGATGCCATCCAGGGTGAACTACAACATGGACTACTTCGTGGACATCGAGAAGTACCAGGAGACGGACGATGATGGCCAGGTGAAGTTCGTCAATGTGATGTCCCTGCAACAGACAATGCGACCTTCGCGATGAATGCCCTGAAGGCCATCATCGACACAGGTGCCACGGAGTCGGTTTGTGGTGTCACCAGTATGGCACGGATGTTGGATTCGTATGAAATCCCAACATATCATGTTGTCCTACATGATAGGCCCATGTTTCGGTTTGGAAACGGCCAAACGCAACAAGCCACGTCTCGCCTGGACATTGAGACGAAGGCCTTGAGGATGGTGAGCTTCTACTTGCTGGACGGTCAGGCGGAGTTGACTCCCCCACTACTTGGTGGCAGAGAGCTCTGGGATCGAAGCGCTGTGGTGGCCACATGCGGGGAGTACTTTGCGCACAAGTCCATGGATGGATCATGGTGTGCGAACCCGTTGATTCGACTTCGTGGTCGACATGTTGCCATTGACCTTGGCGAAGAACCTCAACCTTTGTCTTCGCTTCTGGCAACGCTTCACCGACCTCTTTCTGACCGTGGTGATGGTGATGAATGGACCTGGTGATGAAGATGGAGATGGAGGACCTCCTGATGCTGGACGACCAATGTTAGCCGGTCAGCTCTTATTTGTGGTGTTGGGTGGTTAAGATTCTCCCCAAGAAACCAATGATCAGCATCCCTTCATTTTCTCTATCATTAATTACGTATATAATATGTATTTATATATATATATATTATATCATATATTTATATAATATAATATAATATAATATAAATATATATTAATCATTGGTAGATATCCATAATTATTCATAGACCTCATGAAACAATCATAGATATCCGAAGCTATCATTCAAATTCTGGCCCCAATTTTTATGACAATGCGGGCCAACGCAGCCCCGCATGTTCTGGTTCGTGTGAGCTCCCATTGCACCTATGCTACACTAGAAAAGGAGCTAAATTTAGCCCTTTTCTTTTCCTCATGATCCAAGAAGTAGGGGATTTGGGGATGGATAAAGGCCGATTCTACCAGATTTGAGAGGGATTAAGAAGCGTTTGCCAACTATGCTGATATTGACCAAGTTACCTGGGTCTTTGATCCGTAGTTATGTGGTACTTGATGATACAAGCAAATGATGCACATACCATCGGTTACCAAGTTTTCAGGGTCATTGGGGGCAAGAGGCGAACTTCTGAGATGTTGTCAGGGTGTGAACTCCTGCGCTCAGCGGTGAACGCAGCTTGCAGTAGGAAGTTGATCCGAATTCCTGGAGTGATATGTTTGACACATTCATCCATGAGCATAGATTGTTTTTGTAAACGCACTTCCCATGGATTTGTTTGAGCTCCACAGAAACGGAACAAATGATTGTTTTTTAAACCATGTGCTGGGCTCCAGTGTTCTGCCTCGGCCTGTTGACCGCTCCAGTTTTCTGTCTTAGCCCGATCTCAGTCGTGCGGCATGGCGACGGTGGTTGTGCAGCTTTCAGTGCCAGCTGCAAACAGGCAGCATGCCAAGGTTTCTGTGCGTCAGTGTCTCCAAGCGGAGTTTGCGAAGATCGAGAAGGTGAGCATGCTTGGGTCTGGTCACAAGCTTCATGTTTTTTGGATGGTGTTCAGGGTAAGTGTGTTCAGATACGATTTGGTTCACTTGAAGAATATGATATCCCCATCCAATGCAGCCGGATGCTACTTCGTTGGAGGTTAAGCACCAAAGTGGGTTGTCTAAGGTTTGCGTGCTGAGGGAGCATGTGGAGGCGGCGCCGCGGATTGTAGAGAGTCTGGGCTCATTGGGTGTCGCCGCGATCATGACGAATGCGGCGCACGAAGCCCGCGTGGAGGCAGATGCGCGTCTACGAGCTTGCAAAGAGGAGCAGAAACGTGGATTGGCAACAGGAGCCGACGCTGTGGGGCTGGCACGGGATCTCATTGCCCTGCGTGGAGGCACAGGGAGTGCCAGGAAGAGTGCCTTGGTTGCAGGAAGAAGCAGAGAAATCCAAGGGATGGGTTGGAGTGAGAAGAGCACGAATGGGAAATTAAGTTGATTTTTTTATTTTGTGGGTGTGTGTGACAGTGTGTGTGTGCGTGGTGTTTGTGTGTGTGTGTGTTTGTGTGGGTGTACTGTCTGGACAGGACACGTTGATCTTGGCTTGATCTCGGTTTTGTCGTTGTTGTTGTAAGGAGCACGTTTTGCAGCGGAGTGTTTGAGCTTGGCACGTGTGAGTCAAGCGCACAGCGCGGATGGACTACGTCTTCAGGATGGGCAGGCCTTGGAGTCAGCGGATGCAGGTGACTCGGACGGAGAGTGAATCCGAGTGGTTTCGATCGGTTTGTTTTTCAGGTGGTCAAGCGATTCCAGATGGTGCGACAAGAGCACTGTGTGGGGTGGACCGCCAAGTGGTGCGTGTTGGCGCGTCACTTGTGATCATCATCTCTTTTGGGGCTGTATCTAATGCCCGTGTGTTCGGTTTGCGCGAGAAGGGCGAAGCCAGATGGAACGTGGACGTGTGGCGCAGGCTTTTGTACCTTGAAGAGGTTTTTCCTGCGCAGGGGCACGGCATGGGGAAAATGAGGCACGATGGAAGAATCACATGATTGAAGGGTTTAAATGTGAGAATTGGTGGTTGGTTTCTACTTTGCCATCACTCGTGCTGGGAAATCACCCCGTGGCCTAGTCATGGAAGTTTAGTTACTCAAGTTCGAGGGGAGAATCATCAAAGTAATATGGGGAATGCATGAAAATACGGAATATTTAGTATTAAACAATGGAGCACTGATCACTCACTAAGAACCAAAAAGGCGGTATATAGAGCAATGTGACAATTCTCCAAGTATAGATAGTGGGTGATAGTGGATTTCCGTGTTTTGTGGTTTTCCTTAAAGGTGTACTTGTTTGGGGCCCGAAAGTGGACCTCGAGACGGTTTCAGTGGAGACCTTGGAGTTCATGAAGCAGTACGACGTGCTGCCAACCGGGCTAAAATGACGTCGAGGACGCTGACATGGAGAATTCTTCCCCTCGTCATGGCGACGGTGGAGCTGCTGGAGGATCACCCATTGACGAATACATCGAACCTGAAGAGCCCTTGAGGAGATGACCTTCACACCAATGGGTGACGACGACGTGCTGGTGACGATCACTCGTCCTGCCCATGATGCCGACGAATCCGGAGGAGTTGCACTACCCGATGATGATTTGGAGATGACAAGCAGCCGTCGTTCAACTCCTTTGGATGGATGGTCGACGACTGTGCCCT